TCCTAAGCCATTGTATTGCCCATCATCATGTACCAATGTGAGAGCTGCAGAGTGAAGGAAACAGAAAGAAAGAAAATCAACTCATTTGAGATGTGGTGCTGGAGAAAAGTGCTGAGGATACCATGGACAGCTAAAAAGACAAATAAATGGGTCCTTGAACAGATCAGACCAGAACTCTCCTTGGAAGTCAAGATGATCAAGTTGAGGCTATCATACTTTGGCCACATAATGAGAAGGAATGGATCACCAGAAAAAACAATAATGCTAGGAAAGGTAGAGGGTAGAAGAAGGAGGGGAAGACTGCAGATCAGATGGATGGATTCAATTGGGGGTTGTGGGCATGGGCTTGCAGGACCTGAACAGAGCAGTGGAAAATAGGAATACTTGGAGATGTCTCATGGGTCACCATGAGTCAGACTCGGAATCGACTCAAGGGCAGCTAACAACAACAACAAGGCCATAAGGCCCCTATCATGGGGTTTTCCTGGCATGATTTATTCAGAGGAGGTTTGCCATTGCCTTCCACTGAGTCTGAGTGAATATGACTTGTTCAAGGTGACCTACCCAGTGATTTCATAGCCAAGCTGGGAATTGAATCCTGGTTTCCAGAGTCCTAGTCCAACATTTAAACTGCTATTATCCTTTTATTATTTTTATTTTATTATATTTTATTGTCCTGTCCTCACTGCAAATAAGGGGATCCTTCTAAAGTTCTTTAAAAAAAAATCTAGGCACAGCAGCAGAGACTTGCCTTCAGAGCTCAGGGCACATTTGCTTCTCAGAGGGGAGGACAGCAAACATGATACTACTCAATGGGCTTCTTAGGACATTTTGGAATTCCTCCTGGACAGAAAAGCAGGGCATGTCTGGTCACCCTGGCCTGGGAGGGTGGTGGGAGGCAGAGAAATAGTGCCATCCTGTCTGGGACAGCAGACATCAGTAGCAATACATATTGACATTTTTTCATGTGAGCAGCAACCAAATATTTTAAGGAAAGATTTCTAGATTAAGCCGGGTGGAGAGAAAGGAGAAAAAGAGGTCTGATTAAGATAATGAGTTATCAGGATGGTGGTGGTGGGTGAGTTAAATTCAAAGCAGAAACCATAGAATAAATTATCATTGCTTTAATCTGTGTTGCTGGACAAATATCAGTGTAATCTGGAATGTGCAGCTTTGTGGTTTACTGCAGATTTGATTTGTCAAGAAGAGGGCTACTTTGCAGTCAAGGAGGCTGTTACATTTATATACAGTATAAAATACATTACATCTTTATGTCACAATGCCATACTTGGCCTCTTAGCATTCTCATCTCAGGGTCCAGTGAATGCTAACTCAAGCAAGTGCTGTATTTGCAGGCTTACACAATTTTGTTGGTACTTGTAACAATTTCTTCTACAGGGCCTTGCTTGCAAATGAATAAAAATGCATGGTCACTTAGCATCAAGGGCAAGAGAGGCCTCTGACTGAGTAACCTTGATTGGTTATCTGCAGTTTTAAAAGCATGTCACAGACCAGTTCCTTAAAAAAGACAGGAGGGAGGAAAAAAAAAACCCTCCCAAAAAAAGAAAGAAAAAGAAAGAAGGCAGCTGATTGAATCTAGTCACTGACTGAAATGCTTTAGGAATCTGACAAGACACAGGAAGGAAAAAATCTTTATTTGTCTGATCTTACATCTTTTCCTTGGGACAGTATGCAAAGAGAGTGAAAGGAAGAATGTAGACTGGCAAGGTAAAATGTATGTAAAAATCCAAAGCCAGTTTTTTTTAAAAAAAGTAGACAGAGTGCTATAATGATTCTACAAAAAGTCACACTTCTGAAGAATGATTTTGGATTGAAGCAGTCCTTGTGCTTCCTTCTGACTCTTGAGCATTAAAACCAATCCTTTGTTCATTATGCATTGCTGGTTGGAGAGTCTTTTTCCTAGCTGAGGTGTCTGGTTTCCCTAATGTGTTACTTACAAACAGGAGGCAGAACCCATTATTAGAAAAATGGCTCATTGGATGGTCAACAGTTCACTTAATTTTTTTAAATTAAATTTTTGAATATTTTTTTGTATACTGCATAACCTAAATGGGAAAAGACACTAAGGGTGCATCTACAATGTAGAATTAATGAGGCTTGACACCACTTTAAATGCTGTAGCTCCAGCCTATGGGATCATAGGATTTATAGTTTTACAAAGTCTGTAGCTTTCTCTGTTAAAGAGTGCTGGTGCCTTACCAAACTACAAATCCCAGGATTCTGTAGGCTGGAGCCACGACAGTTAAAGTGGTATCAAGCTGCATTATTTCTACAGTGTAGATGCACCCTAAATCTCAGAATTCCTGGGAGAGTGTGAAAGGGAGCAGAAGTTTAACAAACCTGTCAATGCTGTGAGTGCTTTGCCTATCACTTTCCAGTTACTACCACAAGAACATAAGAAGGTTCTTATGCTGGATTGAGCTAAAGGCTACTTTAGATTAGAGTTTGGTTTCCACAGTCACCAACCGATTGCCCAGTGAATTTCTGTGGCCTTCAGGTCAGTGGGTCAATGAATCCACTTTGGGTTTGGGCCTGAATTTTAAAGGAATAATCCAAGGTGCTGAACCTTACATAGAGTAGATTATGACTGAGAGAAAGCTAACTTAAAGAGGTTAGTTTTTAATACGTATCCAGTACATAGTAGCACTCAGGCCACATAGGCTGCAGACCATTCCAAGGCTAAGTGTTCCTGGAGGGAAAAAAATCTGCTTCCATGCTGCTGCTAAACTGAAATCTGTAATCTGTTTCATGAACAATAACATTTTCTTTCTCTATTACCTAGGATGCTAGAAATAAATTGTTGTTGTTGTTGTTGTTGTTGTTGTTGTTGTTGTTGTTGTTGTTGTGTGTCTTCAAGTTGTTTCAGACATATGGTGACCTTAAGGTGAACCTATTCCTGGCAAAATTTGTTCAGAGACGGTTTGCCTTTGCCTTCCTCTGAGGCTGAGAAAGTATAACTGGTCCAAGGTCACCCAGTGGATTTCCATGGCTGAGCAGATTTGATTCCAGATTTCTGTTCCAGCACCCAACCACTACACTACACTGGCTCGCTATAGAGAAAGTTATTCTTGTTGTTAACTGCCTTCACGTTGACTTCAACCCATGGTGACAAAGACCTCCAAGACACCCTATCCTCAATCGCCCTGCTCAGCTCCTGCAAATTACATGGGCATTTCTTCTATAAACTATCAATCTGGAATGTGGTCTTTCTCTTTACCTATTGCCCTCCACTTTCCCAAACATTATAATCTTTTCTGGTGAGTCTTTTCTTCTTATGCTATGGCCCAAATACAACAACCTCAGTTTAGTCATCTTTGCTTTCAGGAAGAGTTTGGGCCTGATATATAAGTCCTATAGGAAGTCCATATTTAGGAAGGACCAGACAAATAAATGGCTTTCCATTACAATCTACGGGTGGTAGAATGTTAAAACTGAAAACACTGGTGAGGACAGATGGGGCCAGTGGAGAGAGGTAGTCTGGAGAGGTTGGGTTCCTGGACTGCCAACCAAGTCATGGCTTCCAGAAA